ATACTGATACATAGATCCTGTGTTACACTTTGAGCAGCTGGTGCTTCTCCTCTCATCTCGCGGGGACCAGGTTTGACCCCAGACAGAGCACAATAAGTAGGCTCCCCGCTGTTTTTTTCTGCTCCAATGACAGCCTGTGTGTGAGTGTATCGTTGTGCAGTGTGAACGGTTTGGCCGAGTTCTTACTATAGCAAACAGCGGAGCTCGCCGACTTTACAGAGATAAACCGACACAGGCAGTTCAGCTCGACCAGCAGGCATGGAGCTCTCTGCGGCGGGGGATCGCATTTTTGCCGCGGAAGCCATACTGAAACGTCGCGTCCGTAAGGTGAGCCCTGTGCCTGACTGCAGATGTTTGCCGCGGCTCCCTGTCTATAGGCTCTGAGACTACCTTATATGCAGCGCTTTAGGCCTTCGGATACCAATAAGTTGATAGCCGTTGCTAACTTAGGACTAGCGGTCGCCCCAGCTAAGGCTTTTTATTGAAACAATGGGCAGAGTCATAAAAACAGTGACACAAAGAAACGGCTTGCTGGAAAAGATCAACACAAAGCACGATTGATGAGGAATGTAACGTGAAACTGAGGGGGGGTTATTTTTTTCTTCCCACTCCAGCTAATTGTGGCTAAAGCTATACACTCAAAGTATGCATTTTAAGACATTAAATGCTTCAGGAAGCACTTATGGCTGCGTTTAAGTAGTCATTTCAATGGGGCGCGTGCCAAAATATTGATCTTTTATTCATAAAACCTGACTAGGACGGATTTTTATCCAGCATGGCTGATGAAAGGTTTATAGAAGTTTTCATCTGGGCAGTAATTTCTAGAAGATACCCTATAGATTATAGTGGTTTGGCTGCTGCACTGGAGCAGCTGCTTTTTGAGTATAACTTGTGCATGTACATTTACATAAAAGTGCCATTGATGTTGGAAGAAATGTTTGTTTTCATTAAGGCTGAAAAAATTAATTGGATTAATCAATCAGTGAAATAATTGTCAACTAATTTGATAATCAATTAATCATTTACTGGAATGTAAAGACTATGAAATATGCATGTGACTGAAAGAGCAACCCACTTGGAGCAGTAATTATACTAAAATTGTAAAAAAAACATTTTGCATTTAAGATTTTTTTCCCTCTGTCAATATGTTCTATCCAGAACTCTTCAAGTGGAAAAGTTTTAGTTTCACCAGGTTTATTTAGTAAAAAGCTATCTGCTATCTCATTATTAATTGATTTATCGAAAAACATAATTGACAGGTTAATCGATTTGCAAAATAATATTTATTTGCAGCTCTAGTTTTCATCATACTGCCAGTGATGCTGTTTTCCCCCCTAAATTGCTCATAGAAACAATTTTAAGAATATTTATGAGTGCTCTTATAAGAACATAAAGTATTAAAACTCAATGTTAAATGATAATTTCCACCGTGAGGGTATTTTTTATAGTAATATTAAACAAGCTGATATTAGATATCAGACTTTGTAAGCTAACTTTTATGTTGTCACATGTATATTTTTAAAGGGAAGGTTGCTGAACTAAACTCTACAGCTAGCCATGTTTTTCAAATCATTTGTATACCTGAAAAACATGGCTAGCTGTAGAGTTTAGGGATAAAGGAAGTTCTGTATTCCTCAGTTTAGATAGAAACGTAAAAAAAATTGACTCTAAATAAATAAACTGATACTTTTTCCCACTTTTGAAACAAGATTTTAATTCTCCCTCATCTTTGATCCACAAATCTCTCATTTGGACACCATCAACAAAGCAATAAATGCCTTCTTTTTTTTTTATATCTGCTCTTTTTCAAGTAAATCAACCACAGTTTGGTTGGAGATAAAGTTTAACAAGCTCCTTTTCTGCCAGCAGAACAGGAATGGTGAAAGGAAAGGAAATAAATGATATTCAGGGTTTCTTTAGAATTCATTGGAAGTTCTCTAAACTGCAATCTATGATGGCAAATGAATAGCTTTTTTTTGAGTGGGGGAGGCAGTCAGTAACATCATCATTAATCAAATTGTTGGAGCCCAAATTGAGGACTTGTTTGTAGTAACATATTTGGATGCATGCAGGACAAATTTTGTCAATATGTAGGTTTTTGTTTTTTTACGGTCCATCTATTTTTCTCATGCAGGGAAGAATTGAATATCTGGTGAAATGGAAAGGATGGGCCATGAAGTAAGTGTTGCATTCTTGGTGTCTTTTTCAACTTGTCCCTGCTGCTAACATGCCAGCTCTCAGTTTTCAGAGCAAAAGCTGGCTGATTGCATAATTGTATGTTTTTCTTTTCTTTGCTGCGTTGCCCCAACCCTGTTTAGACACAGCACCTGGGAGCCAGAGGAAAACATCCTGGATGACAGGCTCATCCTGGGCTTTGAGCAGAAGTAAGTCAGTCAAGTCCATCATTTCATTTTTTTTTTTTTTTTATCTTTTTGTTTTCCACATTTTCTTCAATTCCATAGAAATGGTACTAAAGCAAGATCTCCCAGCGGTCAGCACTCCAAATGCATGTTTATCGACCCTAATCTCATTTTGCAGCTCATCCAGTAACTTTCCATGTCATTTCTAAGACTTCTTCTGCAAATAAGATTTGCTAGAAAATGAAGGAAACAAACTTTGAGACTGAGGTGGAAGCAATGGTAATTTCATGTTTAAGAGATGTAGATGTAATGGAAACTTGTGGATGAATGCAAGAACAATACAATGCAGCGCTCCAGTTACTAGACAAACTATGCTTTGTAGCAAGAATGGAAAATGAAATGACTTATGTAAACAACATGATCTGATTGTATTTTTTAATGGGTTGAATATGTGGAGACCAATAGAGACTAACAATGACATCATAACGTCCATTGATGATTGAAGGTCCAATGTTTTTTTTTTTATGCTATTAACTAGGACTGAAACAATAGATAGGATTAATCATGATTAATCGTTTTATTGAAATTATCGTCAACTATTTTAGTAAACGATTAATCGCTAACTTGAGTATAGAGGCTCTAAAACATGCCTTTAGCTGGCAGACCAAACCTACTTAGAGCAATCATTATTCCAAAATTTTAACATATATATATATATATATATATATATGTAAAAATTTTGCATTTAAGATAATAAAAAAACTATTTTGTCTGTCAATATGCTCTATCCAGAACTCCTCAAGTTGAAAAGTTTTAATTTCACCAGGTTAACATTTGCAAAAACTGTTCTTTAAGGAACCTATGTGATGATTAGTCGCAAAAATAATCTACAGATTTATTTGATTTGCAAATTACTCGTTAGTTGCAGACTAACTCTGTTTTGTATATTTTTTAAATTTGGTTTTGAACAAAATTAGGGCTGCAACTGACGATTATTTTGATCAACAAATGCATTCAAATTCAGATGCATTTTTTTTTCTTCTGGCTCAGAGTCTCTGTGAAAGGTTGTTAGTGGGCAGAAACGACCTCTGTGCTGACTTTCTGTTGCAGCAGAGCTGAGGTTTCCTCCAATTAAAGGCTCAGGAGGTGGATCTCCATGTTCTGATGAGGAGCTGCAGCTCTTATGATTCTCAGATTGTTCAGCTTCACATCAACCCCCACTACTTTTATTTATTTTTATTTTATTTAGTTTTATACTAAAGTTCTTATTGTCTAAACAGATGGCTGCAAAGAAAAAAATCACACTTTTCATTACAAAGACATAGAAAATAGAAACAGCGTCTCACAAAAAGACCCTATAATTATAATGGCAAACCTTGTTTCAGTCAGATTTTATATGATGGACTAAAAGAAGTTAGTGTTTATTGTTCTATTTTTTTTAAATACCAGTTTTGTATTTGTGTAATTGGGGTGTCTTTAACTTTTCTAGTGGATCATATCTATCCAGTGACTTTTACCCATAATCAGACTAATCTGCTTTTAATGAATTCAATAAACTTTGCTAAATACAACAGACTTAGTTTTTGGATCAACTGTTATCCATACATCCCTTTCCTACATGAAATCTGATTACTTTGTTTGTTTAATGATGTTTTTTTAATTTTGTTTTAGAAATTGTATAACGTTTTTCATGTGAGACATTTTAAGTGATGATTTTTGTAGATCTGTTGTGGGATGACCCCTCACCCCAATTATGCTGCAGGGTTCTGGACGTGCGTCAACCAACTTTTTCAATCTGCACTCTGACATTTCTACCCATCCCTCATTTGCAAAATATTTAAAGCTCAGTCCGAGTGGACGGAGAAGACCTTTACCTACAGAATCACTGTTGGATTGAGGGCTGGATTATTTTTGCACCATTCTTAAACATGAATACCTTGATCCAAAGCATTCAAAATATCACAGGCTTTATACATTTAGGGATTCCTTCAGCTGGAAGGTAATTCTCCACCCTAGTTTTAAATTTTTAACCTCCTGGGAAGTTTTTGGTTTTGTTTTAGGATTCCTCTATATTATGCTCCCTCTATAATCCCATCAACCTTGATCATGTTCTTGTCCTCGTAACATGATGCAGCCACTACTGTGCATCAGTATGGGGGAAGGGTTGCGTTTTTCTAAACGGTGTAGTGCATATAGGTGAGAACCTAACCAGATGCATTCGTTTGTTTTCTGTTTTACCTACATGGCTTCTAGCAAACAGGTCTTCTATATGATTTTTTTCCCATCCATGTAGTTACATTTGTGGAAGGTCTTATCAAATGTAATGTTTCCCCTTACCTGTGGACCTCTACAGCTCCTCCAAAGTCACCTTCACCTTGCCTGCTTCCCTGGCTAATGCTTTTTATTCTGGGTCGAGCAGTTTACCTAGTTGTATGAAAAAGTTTCCAATCAGGCTCTACCTTTACCTCTTTGTTCTCCTAATATCCAGAAACAATTCTTTCATCATGTTATGTTCTCTTTCAGTGTATTTTCTCACAAGACAACCAGAAAAAATTGTCTCAACTAAAAACAGAGGTGTCAGATTTTGTCACTTCTGATTGAGAAGATCTGCCTTATGGCTTTAACACTGAGTGAAACAGAGCAGAGTGATGCATCTCTGGCCTGCTCTTTCAAAAATTATGTGGGCGTTGTAAAGCACTCGCCAGACGCTTTGTCCCTGCTAAGGACACCGCAACACTTTTACTTATTCACTCATTGAAACCGCAGTTTGTTCCTGAAAGATGTTGAAATGAATTTTGTATCCTTAAAAGTTGTGTTTGCTTTAGTTATTTTTTTTTCTTTCTCTCCAGCCTCTTCAGAGAAGTTTATCTGAGGAGAACTTTCTTTTCTATTTCATTCCAAGCCACTTGAAAGAGCCTAGGCTTCTGTCGTAGGTGTTTACAGAAAAACCCAACCAGTCAAAGCTAAAAAATGACACATCAAATGGAAACAAACATGGACACGAAAACAAAGGGGAAGAATGAGAACAAGCCCCAGTTAAAGCGTTACTTTCGATGCTTTCGCTACCTTTTCTTCAGCTTTCTGTTAGCTTTAACTCTGTTTTCTGTTTTTCTTTTAGGGAACGGGAAAGGGAAATGCATGGGCCTAAAAAACGTGGCCCAAAACCCAAGAACTTAGCGATGAAGGTATGGTTTTTACTTTGTTTTAAAATATTTCCTATTAAAAAATGAAACTTTTAGATAGCATTAAGAAGCTGGGAAAAATGGATGCTCTCTAAAGAGATGAATGTATAAAAATGAAATGAATTATAAAAAAACAACTCTTTTGAAGTCTTTGCCATGCAGCGAACATCAGTCTGTTCTGTTATTATAAATGAGACCAAGAAAAGGTGAAGGTGCAGAACAAAACAAAAACCATTTGGGTTGACCTACTTTCTATTTCACACAACTGTTTTCTTTATTAGAAGTCAGCCTGAGAAGTCTTAGCGTGCCGGAATGGTGCTAAACCTAGATGCTCAACATGGCCTCAGTCTGGTTGGGGTTTATGTCTTAACCAGGAAATGTTGAACTCTTTTCTCCCTAAGGACCGTGGTCAGAAAGGAGAGTCCAGCAGCCGGGCCTTCAGCAGCCGCCAGACCGCACCTCGCTCCTCTTCGTCCACCTCCAACCGAGCAGCTCCCTCCTCTTCCGCCTCCTCTTCTGCCGCTCCTCATACTCTACCATTATCCTCCTCCTCCCCAGCGCCCTCCCCCAAACTAAACTCTCTGGCAGCCACCCACAAACTGAAGAAAGACATTCACCGCTGCCACCGGATGTCCAGGCGCCCGCTGCCTCGCTCACACCCAGTCGGGCCTGCTTTTTCCAGTTCGAGTGGTTTCCCGTCCCGCATGCATGTCTCGCCTTTCTCCGAGACCGTCCGTATCCTAAACCGCAGAGTCAAACCTCGGGAAGTCAAGAGAGGAAGGATTATCCTCAACCTAAAGGTAATTGACAAGCCTGGCAGAGGTGGTGCAGCCGCAGGCTCCAGAAACGGGCAGTCTGGACGCCAAAACATCCCCTCTCGCAATCGCATCATTGGCAGAAAGGGGGATGCCCCTTACAGACCGTTCCAGCCTCCTCTGAAGATGCTGGGCTTCCCCATGTACGGGAAGCCGTTTGGGCTGCAGTGTGGCAGGCCCATGTCTTTTCACTCCCAAACAGGGTCCTGCTCTAGCACAGGAGCAAGAGACACCAACAGCAGCTCTTCACAGTGCCAGGCCCCCCCTCCTTCCTCTGCTCCCTCCAACTCGAGCAGTAACGCAGCTAAACGCCCCCAGCCAGCCGCTGAAGCCTCCAAGGATTCAGAATCCAGTACAGCTGTCCCAGAAACCCAGAAACCATCTGCCTCTTCATGTTCAGAAGCAAACGACAAAGTCCCAGCATCTTCCTCACCGACTTCATCTTTAGAAGACCAAGATGAAGACGACATGGACTGTTCCCAAGCCTCAGAGGAAGGTAGGAGTCCTGGCCATCACAAAGCTAAGCCCCAGTCGCCCTCAGCAGTTTCCTCTGCCACTCCAGATCAGCCCACAGCCCCCGCCGATCCCCAAAGGGTTCCCACCGAGGGGGACCCAGACTGGCACCCTGAAATGGCGCCGAGCTGCAAGGATGTGGTGGTCACTGATGTCACCACCAACCTTGTAACGGTCACCATTAAAGAGTTCCCCACCCCCGCATCCGGCCCCGCCTCTCCTGCTAGCGATGAGAACGCCTCCACCCCTCCACCAGCCGCATCGTCCGAGAATGCCGCCATCCCGAAGCCATAAAGATCCAATAATACGAACTTTAATGCCATTGAGGATAGAAAATTATATGTAAAAATTATATCTTACCAGTGTTGCCACTTCAGCTCTATTCTACCCTATCTGTGTGGGGTTTGCCAATATTTGTTAGATACTCAATGAAATATAGTGTAACTAAATGCTACCCAGCCATGGAAGAGTAAAAAAAAACATATTTTTTCTAAAAAAGGTTTTTAAAAAAGCAGGCAGCTTGTTCGCCTTCTTGCCATTTAGATTGCCATATTTGATCCAGCTTGCACAGAAAGCAGAATTTGTTTTCTTTCACTTGATAAACACATGCTGAGGGCCGCCTGTTTGTTGCAGCTCAAGTTGTCCTAACGGCGCGTCCCTCACCCATCTGCTGTGCTGGCTTTCATCAAGCACACTTGTTGGAAGCGATATAAGTCTGCCAACCATCGATGAAGGCTGTCCTCTGTGGTGTAGGTAGCCATCGACAACCAGTAGGTGTTTGGAGAGGTCCTCTGAAAGCCAGATAGCCGATGTCTAATGAAGAGATTGTTTTTGTTTTTTTTTTGTAATTAAACTGAAGATACTGCGTCAGTACAGCGAGGTGAATGCAATGCACTTGACTGCATCAAAAAACAGCCCGTTCTGTGTAGTTAATCAGGTTATCAAGGCCTTCTTTTCCTTCCATCTTTATCAAACGCTTATGAATATAATGTAGGAGCGTATTTTAGCTTTTAGACGCTGCAAATATTTCAAAATACAATTTCCAAGTTATTCCTGCTGTAGTTTTAATCTCGCTTCAATCTCTTACAATCCATTCACCCCCTTCTACAGCTTTTTCATCACTCCTATCCAACACCACTTTAACCCATGTAGGTTGAGGAACCGCGACCTACGATGGGTTCTGGTCCAACATCTGTTGGATTTCAGAGGCAATGGTTTGGATTTAAAATGTTTACAGACCTTAAAAGTTGTGCACATTTAGTCCCTTTTAAACCCCAACCTTCAAATGTGTGTAGACAACTAACTGAATTGGGGGATAAAGAATACTCGTATAGTTTTTATTTTCACATATAAAAATCTATGTTCATATTTAACACCCTGTATTTACTCTCTAGAACAAAATTCATCTGCAGCTACAGCTACAAATGACCATCTATTCTTGCCCTTTGGTTATGAAAGGAGCTCAAACGAAGTCGGATCAGAATCAACTTCATTGTTGTGGTTTGTGTGCACAAACAGAACAATGCTAACATCATAGCCAACAGACCGTACAGCAAGCCACAGCGTGTTTAAAAACACTTTCTAGAGATGGACGAGGAGCAGTTTATGGGAGCCTGTACAGCCCAGAGGGAAGTTAGGTTTTGATGATGCAAAATATTTTATTTTCAGACAGTAGCTGACTTTCCTGCCTATAATAGTTTTTTTTTTTTTTATCAGGGTTTATACACGAATGAGTAACCCTAATTTAATGCTTTTTTATTGCTCTTAAAAATAACTTTAATGCCATCAACAAGTACCTGCATCCAGGTCTCAAATTCCTTGTTTGAAAGCTACTTTTGTTGAAATTAGCATTTTCCCATTCTCTAGTTTTTTTTCCATCTCAAGCTTCTTTTCCAAACATTTGGCTTTACCATCAACCGGAAGCAGTTCCGTGCAAATATATTGTGATACAATATATCAGACCAAATTGTTTTTATACACTTTTTTTTTTTTTTTTAACGAAAGCATTTTAAATGCAACAATAATTACATTTAATGAATTGCCAATTAAGGCCTTGATTAAAACATAGTGACTTTAAATGACCCACGGAAACCCTGTTTATAGAGTTAAACAGAGAAAACATGCTGGAGGAAGAAACATTCTGTGTCTGCTTATTGCTGTCAGCCCGATGATAAAAGTCTACACATTTAGGATCGGTGGGTTCAAAAAGGTTTTTAACAGTTTTCAAACAGTCTTTATAAACATACATTTTTTGAAAGTTTTGTCTCAGATTCTTTAAGTCTGAACTATAGGCCTTTTTGCTTCATGCAGTGACCTTTCTGAACCATCTTAGTTCATTTGTGCTGTATGTGTGGGTTTGTTGCTGCTGGAAGGTGAACTTCTGTTGCATTTAGCTTGGTTCTTCTTCTCCTGTGTCCCCATGGTAACGGTGTGTGCGTGCAGTGTTGGTTTTCAGCTGCATATAGTGTTTTCCATGTAGCTAGAAAGTTCAGTGTAAGTCTGGCTGATGTTTTCTGCATCCTCCACAGCTTGTAGCAAACTGCAAACCAGACTTCTTATAGCTTTTTCACATTCTCTTATAAATTCCAGCTTTTTAGTGTTATTTGGGACTAATAGTTGTCTGGTTAAATTCTCCATCAGTGCCTCCATCCCTGGTGTGATTGGTTGGGTGAATATGTATGTCCTCGTAGGTTTGTAGCTATGCCATACTCTTGGCTACAAATGAGTGTAAAAGTTAATTAATTTCACTAATTTTGGTGTCAAAATCCATAAGATCTCTAAGAGACTGGTGGTTAATCGACACCATGCAGAGTAAAAGTTACTCTGCATGGCTTTTAATTTTTCACTATTAACTCTTAACACTTGAGCAGATTTATGCTTAGCGTAGTTGTAAATACCATATTTAGAGTAAAACAGATTGACTCTGAATTTTTAACGGCCAATTTTTTATGTGTAGACATTTTTGTGGCACTTTTTTGAATGTAATCATTCAGGAAATAAACCCCAAAAAAAGGCCTGTTGGTTCATTTTTGGATGATAAGCGAGATGTTCTAAAGTTGGAACGTTGTTCTTAAGGCCTTATTCTGCTTCAAATGTCTCTTTATTTTCCCCTCTGATCATTTGGGGTTCCTTGGTCATCATGATGCATTTTGTTTGCCAGTGTTCACCAACAAACCGCTAAAGACACCATAGAACAACTTGATTTATACTGAGGTTAAAGACGCACATTTAGACTTTATTTGGAGGGCTTTACATGAATTTACTCTACTTCACAGCTTCCGAAGTTCATTTTTTGCACTTGATTTAATTTAGGGCTATCAGGAAAAAACATGTTTGTGGTTCCACTTTCATTGAAACACTTATAGTGTGTTTAGGGTTCACAGCATCTTCATGTTTATTGGGGTTTGAAGAAACTGAAATAGTCAAACATTTAAAGTTTGTGTTATGATCCAAAGTTCACATTAAGAATATCCATTTTTTTTTTTCAATTCTCTATCGCCCTCAACTGTCTGGATGAAGCATCGAGTGTAGCTAGACGTTTAACTTTAAACCATTTAAACCACAAACACCAGAGTATGTTGTTTAATTCATGTGTTTGAAAAACAAAACTATGTACAATATGTGCATGATTTGAGTCTTCAGCCCCTTTGATTGAAGGCAAAGTAGGTAAGTTCTGTAAAAAGGTATTTTTCCCCCCAATCGATTTGTTAAACTATGCCCTAACAGGAAAATGTAAAAAAATTTGGAAAGATGAAGCATCTCTTTTTCCCATTGGTTCTGCTGCCATTTGCTGAAATACACCGATCCCTGTTCAGAAACGGAGTAAGTCAGATGTGTTTACTGCTTCTTATATCCCTCCCTATCACTGCGCGTTCTGTCATCTAAGCTCAAGTCATGTTATTGTTTAATTTTTGGCTCAAGTCCAAGGTTTTCTCAGAACCTTCTACTGGCTTTGATCGTTTCCATCCTTCCTCAGTAAAAGGAAATGTTGCATCGGATGCAGCAATGATTCAAAATCTTTCTTCATCCCATCTCCTGGTTCTAGAAACAATGGGAACTTTAAAGCTAGGTATTCTTTTGATTATTTAGAGGACTTGTTTTCTTCCTGCTCTTTACGGACCATCCCAGATCGCCATTCGGTTCAGTGTATTATAACCTTTCCGCATGTGTTGCCTTATAGCTGTGCACCCTTCTTTTTGCTTGGCTCTTATAAGAACGGCTGTTAAATAGTCCTGACTTCAGCTTGACTGTTAGGATCTCATTACTGTAATAAGTTCACACTGTTTTAGATGTTTGGTTCATTGCAGGTTATCTGGAGGTGCAGCCGTGGTCTCCGACAGATGGGGTTCCTCATCTGTTTGTTCTGTACTGGATGGTTCTTGTTGTTCTCCATGCTTTTGTGATACAACATGAATGGATTTTTTCCAATATGACTTATCCATCATTGGAGGAGAAATAAGCTGACTACCTTTAAAAATGAATGATGTAGGTTACCTTGAATATTTTGATGAAAAACATGCTGTGAAATGAAAGACAGTTTCTCTCTCTGAATGGAAAAGTGTTTGGAAAATATTTCATGTTCCGTATCTTATCTATCTAGGTGGCGATGACACTAGCTGTTGGTAGATGTTTAAGATATTAGTCTTGAAAGCACCTCTTTCTCTTATTTTATTCTCATGTGGGGTAGCACAACTCAACTTAGTGGCCTGTCTTGTAACCAAATAGGGCTCTTTATTCTCTCTGATTTTTTCTTTTTTATGCTTATTTGTTTCCCTTTGTAAATTGTTTTAATGTGTGAGTGCTGAATCAGCACCAATTGGATGAACTGAAGGATCTTGGTTTTAATGTATGAATTAAGATACTCAATTATGGATTGTTGCTTTTGTGCATTTTTTTCTCTCCATATTTTTATAGTATGTTATGACCTGTTTGAAATATATATTATTATTTCAATATAAGGCTCATTGTTTAATGCTATTTTTAATAGTCTGAATTTTTCCGTGTGTCATGACTGCAGTTTTATTTTGGTTGATCATTTGAAATAATTGCATTGTATTGATAGTAACGAGAAGAAGGCAGAGTATAATGTTGACAGTAAAATGTATGTGAAGCATGTTTTGCAACTTCTTGCTGTACAGATAATGTATTCAGTGTCCTGTTATGTGTTGTTTTTGTGTTTCTTGTAATAGGTCTTTGATTAAAAGCACTCTAAAATCATTTGTTTAGCTCTTTTTTGTTCTAGTATAAAATGCATGTAAATAGAGTTGCATGGCAGCAGATCTATTAATCATCTGGAGGGAAGCTGGTTATGTAATGTACAGTTTGTGTTTTTTAATGCTGCAGTACACACCCATCAAATGAATCTGATTAGTAGCTTTTCTAGCCTTGCTTGAACTAATTTGTTTTTGGTCTCAATTTGTAAAACTAGATTGAACTGACTATATCAGTCTAAAATAAGTAAAACTATAACAAAGTAGCTTGCTCTGCCTCAAGGATCAGCTAAATCCTTTCACCCATCCCTACATCTATTCCATGTTACAAACAGTGCTTAATAGCAAAGCTGACAGGAAAATTATGCAGTTTTAAACTAATGAGTATACATTTTATAGCCAGCCACCTGAAGCTATATTTCTTTGGGACACCTTTGTATGTTTTTGGTTTGTCTCCACTAGCTTTGCACAGACACAGGACGGATTCAGTCTAACAGGATTTGAGCTAATATTTTCACGTCTGTTCAAAAGACTGTTGGTGTGATTTAGGAATGGACTGAATCATAAAAAATGGTTGGGTTTTAAACTAACCTATACCCTCACAGGTCAGACTGCGTATTTAAATCATTTATCAATTATATCCCTGCCCTAGCTTGAGTAGCGATTACCTTCATCTATTTCCCCTCTCTGTCCAGCTTCCCCGTCTCCTGAATAAAAAGAAAAATCCCACAGCATCATTCTATCACCACCATGTCTTAACATGTCTTCAGTGGTTAAAACAAGGACCAAATATGTCGGGTCTTTTTCTCTGTAAATATATATTTTCATGATGTTCATAACCGTTGGCAGCACCCCTAGATCTCTGCACATACAAATAAGGAAAATGACTCCAAATAAAGTTATTTCCATAATTATATAAGTTATTTCTTGTTACTGATACCTAAGAATTTTCTTGGATGTGCCTTTAGGAGGATTCTTTTTTGGAAAATTAACACTAAGGTGTGTGCATTCATTATGGGTTCACCTAACCATATTAGAGTCTCCCTGTAGTTCATTGGTTTATCTATATCTGCTGCAGCAAACCTAGAGCAGGAGTTCCCATGCTTTTTCTTCAGCAGTGCAGTCTTCAATGTCTGTGTGCATAAGGGCAATTGCAGCTCAGTGTCTCGCTTCTTCTATTTCCAGAATTTTCTAAAATTCTCAGTTTTTACTTCTTATCTCTTGGCAGTAACAGTAAGAATTTGTTGAAAAGGTTTCTTTGCTTTTACTAATCAGGCCACTCTGTTCAATAACTCGGTGAAGAGACCTATTTATGGGTAATCATTTAATATTGAAGAAGCTGATATTGATTTGCACATAGCTGCAGGAACGCTTTCTCAGTATTGATTGCAGCTGTTTACTTGGGTTTCCATCCATCCTTCCGCTTCCCCTTCTTCATGTGTTCAATATTTCTCCATGTCATTAAAGCTGCTTATTCGTCGCTTCATCTTGG